GCTTGCAGCTTATGAAGAGCCCATAGTTCATGCTCATCAAGTGAAAAATGACATGCCTGATCTTGCAGTGTGGGCAGAGAGTTGCTCTGAAACCTGCCAACACACACCAGCAAAAACAGCCCACTGACTCAACCGCCCGCTTTCGCCAACCTGCCGGTTACTTCACTGCAGGACGTGTATTTGAGCCAAATCAAGCAAAACACCTTGACGTTTGTGAGTTTGCAGGATTTGGAAATATATCACCGCTTGAAGACAACCTTCCAGCACAGAGAGAGTATCGGGCTGACTGGGGAGCCGTTCAAGAATTGCGGAACAAGGACGTTTTCCAGTTCTGGAGAAGCACGGTGGCCAGATTCCCAGCTCTGGCAGTAGTCGCCCTGCGATGCTTAGCAGTACCAGTCTACAGCGTGGGTGATGAACCCTCCTTCTCATCTTATAAAAATGTGCTTGGGGACAACAGACGCCGCATAAACAACAAGCTGTCTAGGTATAACTCGTCAGACCAAAATGGCAACGCTTTGCAAAAGGGACTTGAACAAAAATATCTGATTTTTAGTATATAGTTTTTTGTTATTTTTGGTTGAAAAATGATTGCACAATAGGCATATATAAACTCAAAACCGTTTACTTTGACAGGGCAAAGAAAACGATTGCATTAATGTTCTTGTGTGTAAATGTTACACTGTCATACTTTGTTAAATTGTCACATTGTTTGTTCCCGTCACCATACCCTGATTTTGTACATTTTTGCCATGAATGTTCTGTGAATTTTACCTAGTTTTACTGTGACAAAATCGTATCCATAACCACGGTCTTTGTGTGCAAGGTACAAGCCTGGGTCTAATACAGGGGCGCTGCTGCCTCGCTGAGCCCTCAGGATGAGTGTGGCAGCTGCTCCAGGTTTGTGAGGTAGTGTTTCCCCGCAGAGCTCAAGGATGGGCCAGCATCTATGCAGGGAGGCCAGGCAGCTCCAGCCCTATTTGTGGACTTTCCTTGGTGCCGGTGGGTGCTCACGCCCCCCTGGCCCCACCCTGACTCTGCCCCTTCCCTGCCCCTATTAGACCCCTCCCCAAATCCCCACCCCGGCCCCACCTCTTCCCCGAGCTCACCGTGTTCCTCCTCCTCCCCCTTCCCCTCCCTCCCATCGCTTGCCGCGTGAAACAGTTGTTTTGCGGTGCAAGCGCTGGGAGGGAAGGGGGAGAAGCAGGACTCGGCGGCGCACTCAGGGGAGAGGCGGAGGCGAGCTGGGGTGGGGCAGGGAGCTGCCGGTGGGTGCAGAGCACCCACCAATTTTTCCCCGTGGTGCCTATGCTTTATGTATTATCTCGCTGTAGCTTGGTCTGAGAGGCCAGTTCTATGTCCTATGCTGGAGGAGTGTAATTAACAAGGATCCTGCTCTCTCTTCTGTCCTCGCTTTGTCCAACTTCTACAGAGGTGCAAGCTGCAATTTCCAGCTGCTGTAATCAATCACAACGGCCAGAGCACAGCACAGTCTGTACGTGCTGGCTGCCTTCCTTCCCTCCTCATTCATGCAGTGCCATTGCTCTCCAAAGCTGCGTCTGCATTAAGGGGGCACCGCCGGGAGCAGCAGAGAGATTGAAACAGCGTTGCTGCGGCCCAGGTGCAGCAGGATTACAGCACGGTCATTTAAAGCTCTGCTTGCAATGGCGCGAAAGGGGGTGGATGAAGATGATACTCCAGGGGCAAGGGCAGGGACGGATTAAGACTTAAAGGTGCTCAGATCCATCCTACACACAGGGCACAAGCGGGGTAGGGCTGTCAGGCAAATCACATTTTGGGGGGGCGGGAGCTTGAGGCACAGTATCTCAGACACCGCACCTAGTCTCAAGTCAGTTTACGGGGGCTGTGGAGACATCTGCTGTGTACAAAGGGTGTGATTTAAATAAGCCTGTTGCTTTCTCCTCTACTGGTGCACCGATTTATCTATCATTTTCATAGGTTTGAAAACAGGGCGTCTTACGTAGCTGGTTATGCAGAGTTAGCATGCTTAGACAAACAGTTTTGGTAGGTCCTACAAAAGTCTCTGAACTTCTTCCTCTAAGCAGTACAGTGCTACCCCTTTGTAAAATAGCTCATTAGAATCCAAAGCCTCCCATTCGATATTCCTCCAGCACACATCTAGGGATAAACTATTTGAATGGTGTCCCTTTAACTCAAGAGGCCGACACTATAATCAAGGTGTGTGTTTTGTGAGACAAGACCTCAGAACCTATTACTCATTTCTACCAAGTTTTAAAGAAAACTGAGCTTACTTTCTATAACTCAAAATGTCAAGTAAAAAAAGGTACTTACAATAGGGTGTTTTCAGGATGTCCCCCCTGCAAAAGCATGCGTTCAAAGAGGTAGTGAGTAGGATGCCTACTGCACACTGTCCATATAAACCCTATTGTACACTGCTGTCTTACATTCGTGCTTCCCCTGGCTTGCCACCTGGTAAATGCACAAACAATGACAATACAAGTTTGTATCCCAAATGGCTTGAAAGAATCTGAAGCCACTGAACAAGGAGATCAAGCTAGGAAAGCAAACAGCTAGCCCTTGCATCTGTTGTGGGTTAATAAAATCTAAAATGATGAACGAAACAACAGTCAGCCTTAAAAGAAAATATTTTATGAGCGCAATAAGACATGTTTTGAACAGTGCTGGAGGCAACTATCAAACAAAACTCTTAACATTAAAAAGCAGATCAATTTCTGGGAAGCACTTAGGAATGCTGTCAGCGTATTGAGTCTTCGAGGCTTCACTTAATCCTTCATAGAAATATATTTCTTATATCACTTACAAAAAACTCCACTATGCCTTGGGTAAAATGCTAGATTTGGTTTATACTGAATACTTTGGTAAAAACAAATCATAAAGAGGTCCTTCATTCATTTTGGTGCCTATTAGGTCCATCACTGGCTATTAACCAGGATGGGCAGGGAGGGTGTCCCTAGCCTTTGTTTGCCAGAAGCTGGGAATAAGCAACAGGGAACGGATCACTTGATGATTCCCTGTTCTGTTCATTCCCTCTGGGGCACCCGGCACTGGCCACTGTCGGAAGACAGGATACTGGGCTAGATGGACCTTTGGTCTGACCCAGTATGGCCGTTCTTATGTACAACATTAATTATTTAGAGTCTCTCATTAAATCAGGATTGCAGATTATGTTCCCTTTTCTATTGAAGGAGAATTTTTTCTATTCCATTTCAGTATTTGTGTTCTCCTTCTTCAGATAAGTGAATTCTCTTCACTCGGTCTCCAGTAGAAAGAAGGTGTGCATTTCAACCTGCTAACCAGTTTCAGGATAGAGACCTGACTGGTGAGAGAAATGGATATATTTATGGATCTATGATCTAAACTGCAAACCATTTTCAAAATGTACAGAAAGGTTGTGCTATTTCTCAGTAAGGCCTGAAGTAGGAAACTTACATCGGCACAAAATAACTCACAAGCAAAAAAACGTTCACTTTAAAACAAACCAACCCAGATACTTAAAGTTCTCTAGAACAACAGAACACATTGTAACAAACTAATCCGAAGAAAGCGCCAAGCTATGGCTTTTCAGTTTTGGTTTAATGTACAGAATGGAGTATAACACCATTTTCCAGCATTTCGGAATTTCATATTTTACTTGATCTTTAGCTTTTCTAGATTCTAGAAAGCCTTTTCTTAGATGCTTAGTTCTATGAAACTACATGCGAATGTGTCTCTAACTATTAAAGACTGGCCCAGATTTTCAAATGTGACCACTGATAGTGGATGTTATTTGAGCCACCTTTAACGAGTGTTTTTTGAAGGGCAGGTGCTCTGTGCTTTTTGAAAATCAGGCCCCTTTTAGGTGTGTCAAGGTGGATACCTAAAATCGCTCCTCACTTTTGATTACATAGGCCACGCGAGGCCAGGTCCTGCCAACACTTACGTGTATGAGCAGCACCACTGGAGTATATTAAAGATGGGTATGAGGCTTTGCAGGATCAGGGCAGCTGTCACCACACATGGATATTCCAGTGAAACGCAACAAACCCTTTGTTAGGGCGCACGAGTATCAAACACAAGGTGCGGGTTTCTACCACCTTCCGTCTCGCCCTGCCTTTGTCTCCAATTCCGTGGCATGAGCCAGTGTGGAAAAGCCGGCTAAATGGCATATTCAAAAGCTCTGCTAAGGAAGGCAAGAAAAGGGAGTGCAAGCATTTCCTTTTGTCTTCCTTTTCCTGCCAGCTCCAGCTTTTCTGCTCCAGCTCCCGCACTCTCTTTAAGCAGCTACAGTCTTTTTGAAAATACGACCAACTAGTTTTGGGTTTTGGCTTCATGTCTTTTTGCTGCTGGTTTTCTGTTTGCGTAGGTGAGCCTCAATCTCATGCCTGAAGACGAGCATCCCCAGCTGGCCGTGAGAAGCCTCGTTCATGGCTTTGGATTGCATGCACATCTTGTACTGCTCCGGGCTCAGCTCATCCAGGCAGCGCTTTTCATGCCAGAGATGGAAGAGGCCCCGGACAGGCGTCCTGACCACGATAAGGTTGCTGTGAAGGTATTTGCGGTAGAGATGAACATCTTCTCCTCCCCAGCCTTTAATGTCCAGATCAAAGCCACCTAGTGCAAAGAAAATTAGACATAATGCTAGAAATATATGGTCTCTGCATGGAAACCGCAACCAGGAAAATCATCCCTCCTAGTAAGCCTAGAACTACATTAAAACCTCCAACACCAGTCTTACAAATGAGCAGTGACATGTACCATTTTCCTGACCAGAAGAAAAAAGATCACATAATGAAAGTGAGGTCAGTGAAGAAGAGCAAGTTGCCAGCCCATCACATTCTGATGCCTCCAGTACATTTGGAATTCACTTGGCAGTGGCTTGAAGGACAAAAAGAAAGCAATGGTGTGCACCCCACCGCAATTTGTGCTCTGCGCCTACTATTATTTTGAGATGTTCAATTTTATGAACTTTTTGAGCTTTATGAACGCCTCCGTCCCCAATTAGTTCATAAAACAGGGGTTCTGCGGTCGTATTACACCCCAGCTCTTCTCTGTGGCTGTCAGCTTTGGTGCGGTTTACATTTAAACCAATTTCAGCAAGCAGCGTGAAATGCCAAACATTCCTACATTTGTAGACGTCTGTTTCCCTTGACCTGCCACCGCAGACCAAACTGCTTTGTGTTTGCATCGAGCAGCACTTACATGCATGCTCCGTTTCCTAAATGAGAGCTCAGCTTACGGTTGCAATTGCGTTTCCTTTATAAGCCTTGACCTCTGCAAAGCCGGGGCAAAAAAAAAAAAATAAAT